TGGTAAAATGCCTACCCTTTCTAATTTTTACCAAGTTATGGCCTCGACCTCCTTTTCTATTGGACGGAGAAGTCTTACTGCTGTAGAACTGCACTGGACACAGACGCTTAAGCACATTCTCTGGACACCGGCCCCAAACACAGCGCTGCAGCACTGGCCTGCACCTCCTGGACCTCGGGTCCCCCCACACTTTCATCCAGATACAAGGAGACGGTTATAAAGGTGAGCCACAAAACTTAACAGGGCCTCTTCACGTTATTTGGCACAGAAGAGAACTACAGGGTCATCAGGAAAGTCATGACATAATGATCTGTTTTTCTATGCAAAAATACATCATTACTTTCCTGATGACCCAATAATTAGAATTTATGGGATGGTCCTGCACCCCAGGGACCAGGTTTAGGTTTTTTTTTTTTTTTTAATTTTTTTAGAGGTTTTTGCCACAGGGCGCATGTGCTCGCCAGAGAGACAAAAAGTGAGAAATCACCCCCTGGGGGGATGGCCACACCGCAATCTCTTCTCCTCCATTCTCCTCTTGGGATCTTGGGCACGCACATACATGTGCCTGGCGTGAGTTTAAGCCACTGGGTCTGGGACTCAAACTGCAATCAACTACATGGGAGTCCAGTGACACAGCCATTATGCTAACTGCTGGTCCCTAGGTTGGTTTTGACAGAAGATTTAAATTGACTCATGAGATTTGGAATCCATAAAAGAAGTGGCTGGATCCTCTGTCTCCTTGTCCTTCTGTTTAAATGTCTTTTGAGTAACTGAAGCAGGCTTCCTGGATATCTGAACTTGTTGTTTCAACTATGCTTTCTGTAACTGTGAAGATAACTCTGAATAGAATAAAAATATACTCTTATTTTCAAAAGTACCTAGAGTTTGTAGAGAACACGTGCATATATATGAACTTGTCTCACAAAATCTTGAAGTCAGGCATTTTTCAGATGAGAGAACTGAGGTAAAGATGGGTTGAAATGACTTGCCTGAGGCAGGTAAATCTAATTTTAAATGGGAGATTTCTGACATCTCCATCGACTGTATTATTTCCCAAAGTGCAGGGATAACTAACATTTAAATCAGGTCATTGTTGGGGACATCGAAGACAGACTTCAGCTCCTGCAAAGATGTGAGGTCACTCACCAACGAGTGTGAACACCTGCTCTGACAAGAGATGTCCAGAATGGGTCATAAGAGATTCTTCTAAATAATCAGACAGTACCAGTCAGTATTGATAAGTTCAACAGCATGTTAGAATCTCAGTCTGAGATAAGAACAAAGCAACCAATCTAAAAATAGCCACCAAAACATGGGCAGAAGATTGCTGTGGTCTTCAGAGAAAGGCAGTGGCTCATTTCCTTCCGTATACACCATGCCCTTCCAACCACTTCTGTTTCTTGACACGACTAGTAACCAAGGAAGTTCTCTAATGCTTCTTCCCCTCTTTCCAGGCCTGGGGTACTACTTTGTTTTCCTAGTAAAATCCTTCTTCCACCATTCTCAATCTTTAAGATTGATCGCTCCGTTAAATATCTATCTAGAGCCAGTGTGGAGATAAAGCCCTGTGAAAACACATGGAGGTGGGGGACCAGCAGTTGGCGTAATGGCTATGTCACTGGACTCCCATGTAGTCGACCGTGGTTTGAAGCCTGGACCCGGTGGCTTAAACTCACGCCGGGTGGATGTGCGTGCGTGCCCAAGATCCCGAGAGGAGAATGGAGGAGAAGGGATTGCGGTGTGGCCATTCCCCCTGGGGGGTGATTTCTCACTTTCTATCTCTCTGTCTCTCTCTGTCTGTCAAGTGAGCACACGCACCCTATAGCAAAAACCTCTCAAACAAACAAACAAACAAAACATGGGGGTGGGAGGATGCCTTCAAAAATTTCATGGAAAACATATATTGTGAAAAATTAGGCATAGATTTCAAATTCCTCTGTCTCCCAAATAGACTCATATTTTAATTCCATTTTCCACAAACTTTTGCATCCCAAATAAACTCATATTTTAATTCCATTTTCCACAAACTTTGTGAAGTCTCCTATTTGCCCCAACTTCCCATTTACCTTACTTTGATCTAACTCTACTGTCCCTTGTCCTACCACCTTATCCTTCCCTATATCAACCATCTGACTCTAGCTATATGTGTTTTTCAGACAGATAGATCTCACAAAGTGACAGTACAACCTGCGATTCCTTTGCTCTCCAGAAGTTAGGTTAGCTGATGTTTCCAGTGTATGATGACTTTCAGAGAATTCTGACAGTTGGGATACTAAATACAAGAGTATAGCCCTAGTTAGGTGCTACTTTATAGTATGTTCATTCTATTCACTGAGGTTTATGCCTAAAGTCAGACTTGTGTTCATGGATATGTACATATCAGCTGTGCTTGCTGTTGAAAATATTTAGATTTATTAAGATATTTAGTGAAACAATAAAATGGGGGAGGCATAGAAAGCACCAATAGATACCAGACACAGTGTGGGAGGAGGGTGGGAGATGGCAGAGGGTGAGATAGGGAATCAAGAATGGGGAAAAAGGCAAAATATACAGAAAACAAGAAATGGAAAATGATTTGTTGACAATAACACAAGGTTAGCTGATGTTTCCAGTGTATGATGACTTTCAGACAATTCTGACAGTTGGGATACTAAATACAAGAGTATGTTCTCTGAACTGCCGATGGGTAGGCTTTGTATGCACTAGTGCTTGGAGCTATGAATGATGAATACTGACAACCCTGTGGAGACTCCAATTCACAAATAGCACTACAATGTATAACTCCCCAGACAAAATGCAATAACGTTTCATTTTAGGAGTGTCCTTGGTCTTTCACCTCTAACACACAGCACCAAGGCCAAGCAGAGCATCAAAGGCTGAACTCAGCTTGTGCACTGAGTGGCTCAGTACTTTACTTCTGCCCCAGTTTTTCACTCTGCAAGGGTTAATCCATGCATCAGGAAAACTAAGTAAGATACTCCACACCATGGTCTTTTTGGGTCACTTCTGGACAGCCAAGAGTGAATGTTAAAGCTGTAGGTTGGGCCAGCCAGTAGCTTAGTGGTTAAGGCAGCTGGATCCCACATGGCCAATGGCATGATTTGAGTTCTAAACCTGGTGGTTTGAAAAGCATGCCAAGTATCAATACATGTACATGCGTGACCAAAATCCTGAAAGGAGGGAGAATGGAGGAGAAGGGATTGGAGGATGACCATCACCATGGGGGTGGGTGGGGTGACTTCTTACTTTTGTCTCTCTCTCTCTCTCTTTTTCTCCTCGGTGGTGAGCACACATGTTCTTTGGCAAAAAAGAAAAAAAAAAAAGAAAACTTTAGCTGCCACAGGTCCTAGAGCTTTGCTCCCCTATCCCACCAAAACCTAATCCTACTGGTCTCTATGAATGCTGTAATGTGGAAAAGTCAGCAATTACTAAACTCTTTCTAGGACAGAGTTAAAGCGACATGAAATGCTCTGTGAGGCTGATCCACATGGGAAGGTTCTGGGTTCGTGTCCAAGGACCTCCCTGAATACGTGGACACATTCAAGCTCAAAATCTGGGGCTGGTCTGAGGGTGCGGTCGACTGCAGCAAGATCCTGCTGAGGGGGCTTTCTGTCTCTCTCTCTCTGTCTTGCTCATGAAAGAATTAAATAAAGAAACAGCAAAAAAATGACATCGAAGATTTATTCAGCTTTGAATAAACAGAAGAGTGGACCTTCCTAAACCAGGAAGATTTATTCAGACCTTTCTCAGACTGATTTTAGAAGTATATCATCCCGGGGCTGGGAGGTGGCATGGTGGTTAAGGGCACTGGACTCCCACATGGCTGACCATGGTTCATGTCCCGGCTTGCTTTCTCACTCTCCCCCACCTTCTCTCTCACTCAGTCCCTCTCTCATAAAATAAATAAATAAAATAATGTTTTAAAGAATTATTTATTTTGATTTTACTTATTTCTTCATTTATTTTAATTTGATGAGAGAGAGAGAGTGTGAGAGAAAGTAAGCCACCAGGTCCGGGATTCTAACTGTGGTCTGCCCTGTGGGAGTGTCCAGCACCTTAACCACCATGCCACCTGCTGGTCCCAAAAATAATTCTTTAAAAAAAAAAAAAAAAGAAGTACATCACCCTACATGGTAACCCCTAACTCTATGTGGATACTGAGCACCTGAAACGTAAATGGTCCTCATTGTGGTGAGTGGGTCAGTGTAAATCAGCATACCAGATTTCTGAGACTCAGCATGAAGAAAAGGATGTACCATATCTCATTAATTTTTAAATTTTGGATCTACGATGTTGGGTAAAATAAAAGAATGAATGTTGCCTGTTTCTTTTTTGTTCTTTTTAAAATGCAGCTCCTAGAAACTTTGAAATTACTTGTGTGGCTTACATATATGGCTTTGAGGGGTCTTTCTGTCTCTCTCTCTGTCTTGCTCATGAAATAATTAAATAAAGAAATAGAAAAAAAATGATATTGAAGATTTATTCAGCTTTGAAAAAAAAAAGTGTGGACCTTCCTAAACCAGGAAGATTTATTCAGATCTTTCTCAGACTGATTTTAGGAGTGTATCATCCCAAGGCTGGGAGGTGGCATGGTGGTTAAGGGTGCTGGACTCCCACACGGCTGTCATTCTATTTCTATTGGATAGCTCTGTGTAGACAAAACCCAACAGCCTCTTTAAGGGTTTACTTCTAGGGGAAAGATGAGCACTCTACCAGCACTGTTCACGGTGTCTTTTGTAAACATTTGTCCCTTCTGTGGACATCCCATCGTAACAATGGAAGGACCAGCAAACAACTAAATGGCTCTAGATACAGCTTGGCTCTGGCTTGGTCAGCACTGACCTTTGTAGCCTCATGTTCCCCTCCCTGGGACAGTTGTATCCAAGGACACCAAGAGTCCCATACACTCTGATGAGTTCACATTTCTTTAATAATTTGACTTTACAGTCCTGTAATCATTTTAACATTTCTAAATAATACAGGAAAAAAAAAAAACTTACAGGTTTTGAGACGGTGAATCTGCTGCTGGAATGCACAGATATTTAACTCCCTGTAGAATGATAAAAATAAATAAATAAATAAATAGGAAATGCATAGATGATACTCAGCAGAGAAAAGTATTTAAAGGAACCATTTACTCAGGTCAAAAAATGAAAAATAAAAAGGAGAAGTTTTTCACTCATCTTTTGTTGCCAAGGAAGTGGGGGGGGGGAATTCTTTAATTAAGGTTCCTGGTTATTTTCCATGACATGCACACAAATATTCTTGCTTTATTTTTTGCAAACAGCTTGAGACAAAATTTAAAGTTTGCATAAAAAAAAGTGAAATAATTGAGTATTTTTCATAAGTGCCAACGAGTTTCAAAACTGTTGTTATCTCAGGTGCTTGTTCATATTTTGTTTATATTTCATTCAGGGTTCTGAATTTCAAAAGGGAAGCGCTATTAGTAAAAACTTAACAATGACTGAAAACTATAACATCATGTTACAGCTTTCTATAGTAATTTCAGAATCATGACTACTACAATTTCACTGATACAGACAGGAGCTTTACACCCTGGAAACAGTTTGCTTCCTAACGTCAACAAGTGGAAAAACTGAATTGAACTCTAAGTTTCTTTTGGTGCCCAAAATGTTGAAATTCATGCATAGGTTTTTCGTAAAAGCCATTTTCCATAAACTTTTTGAAGACTCCCCTCATATTTTGCTTGCGTTTCGGAACAGTGAAAGTGTGTGTACCAAACTCACAAATTTTTTTTTTTTTAAAAAGAAGAACGCCTCAATTTGAAAAAAAATGAACTTCATAAACTCCTCTATGAAAATCTAAAAAACGTTGATGTAGAATCATGCTGCAAAAATCATGCTGAGTTTTATAAAAAACTTGGTTGTTTCTTCTTTGCAGAGATGGAAAGTACAGTTCAGGGTAGCCTGTGGCCTAGTGGTGTAGGGGATTGGATGCTCTGTAGTCAACTGCACGGTTTGAGAACTGGACCTGGCAGTTTGAAAAACACTCTGAGTGCATGTACAAGCGCGTCCTAAATCTTGACAAAGGGAGAAATGGAAAAGGAACTGCGATGTGACCATTCCCCATGAGGGATGCTTTTTCCTACTCTCTTACTCACTGTGTCTCTGTCTCTCTCTCGCTAGTGCATATGCCCTCTGGAAAATTTAAAAATAAAACAAAAACAAACAAAAGAAAGTATAGTTCAAAAAGTCGTAAATGTTAAGAAAAAATATAAAATATAGGGACCAGCAGTTAGTATAATGGCTATGTCGCTGGACTCCCATGTAGTCGACCGCAGTTTGTGCCCTGGACCCGGTGGCTTAAAACTCATGTTGGGTGCATGTGCATGCATGCCCAAGATCCCAAGAGGAGAATGGAGGAGAAGGGACTGTGGCGTGGCCATCTCCCCTGGGGGGTGATTTCTCACTTTCTGTCTCTCTATCTCTCTCTGTTTGTCTGATGAGCACACATGTCCTATAGCAAAAACAAACAAACAAACAAGCAAAAAAACCTCTCCAAAAATATATATATATCTATATAAAATATAAAATATAAAAATCTTAGTGACATTTACAAGGGACTATGGCTTATGAAAATCTACATGAGTCTCTCTCTCTCTCCTTCTCTCTCTCTTTTTTTTTTTTTTTTGGTTTGTGCCACAGAGCATGTGCACTTACCAGAGAGAAGGAAAGTGAGAAATCACCCTCAAGGGGTATGGTCACCCTGTAATCTCTAGTGCTCCATTTTCCTCTCGGGATTTTGGGTGTACACACATAAATGCCCAGCATGATTTTCAGTCTGCCGGGTCCAAGATTCAAACTGTAGTTGGCCATTTGGAAGCTCAGCCCCTTAACCCGCCACACTGCCTGCTGGTCCCAGATGAACCATTTTTAAGCCCTCCCTTTTCTTTTTCAACGTTTATTCATTTATTTCTTCTATGAGCTAGAGAAACAGAAGAAGAGACAGACAGAGAGAAAGAACCCCCCAAAGGGTCTTGAACCACCACTGACCCTGGCATCAGTCAGCCCCATATTATAAGCATGCACATGGCTGACACAGTCAAGAGGTTTCTGGAAGTTAACCTGAAACCTTTGCCTACTGGGTCACCTTTGCAGAACTTTGAGTTTTTTTGACATGTGTCATCATTAGGTCCCGAACCCTTTCTTTTCTCAATTATCTAATCTCATAGAATCTAGGCAACAGGAGACAAGCACATCCGAAACTAGAAATTAACCAGCCTGAGAGTAAAAGAATAGATATGTAGAACAGTGTTAAAGAAAACCACAAATCACCCAGAACATAAAGTTATAAAACAACTTGTCTTCTCAAATTATTTGAAAAATGTTGCAATTTTTTTCCTAAACTTTTACTGTTGACTCTCTCATAAGGATCTTACAAGGAACATTTAAATTTGTGGCTACCCCGAATCCTTCCATACCTCCACACTGTGTTAATTCCTCACATTGTGAATCCAACTTTTCCAATACAGAAGCCACCTAAGTCCATTTGATGGCCTCCTTTGCAATGACAATACAGACTCAGCACCTAGTGTCACTGATCTGACACTCCCAAAGGCAGGTTCAGGACCACTGAGCAGGATATAGGAAGAGATGGGTGGGCAGGGAGCTGGTGCTTTGTGGGTGTTGGTGAGGCAGAGTTGGCATAGGCTCTAGGGGTCGTCCCTGAACTTCAGCTTAAAGCTCTTTTCAGAAAATCATGAGCTTTCAGCTCTCTCTCAATAAGCTCCTGCCTATTGAAACTAACACAGAATGAGATCTGTTGTACACCTAAGACCCAATGATATAACTCCTCCTTCCCATCATCCACAATGAGAGGTCAGGGAAAAACATTTTTCCTGCATAGTTTCCACACATTTCTTTTCCAGCTTTGAGTCACTCACTACGTCTTTGAATAAAGGCTCCTTTGGGTCCTGAAGAAGAGTTGTACTGCTATTTCTCCATATGCGAACATCCTACTTCAGGCCAAAGGGACTTAGCTCTTCCAAGTGTTGCAAGGATCAGCTGGTAAAAGAGGAAAGCGAAGCCACAGATTTCCCCTCCTTTGACTTCCACTTCGTCATCTCTAATTGCCTCTTTTTGTCTCTATCTTCATTTTCCCTGAACTCTGGAGGCTGTGCTCTGCTGGGAATTTGGAACGGTTGTCTGAAAGTCTAAAGCCCTTCCAAATCTGAGCAGTATCATAGCCAAAGGGCAAGAAAGTCAAAGAGGAAATGATACTGCAGTATCAGGGAGGGCAATGGAAGATACTAGAGACAGTACAGAGGAGTAATAGCGGGTGGGTCATAGGGGGTGAGAGAGAGAGAGCATGGGGGAAAAAACAACATATTTAATAGACACAAAAATTAAAAGCTATCCACTGATGAGAATGCATACAGTTCTGTCTTTATTTGACTAATATGCACTGTATTCATGCTGGGGAAAAGCATGTTGTACACTGTAAAGATGTATAGTGATTAAATGTAAATTTAGAAAAATATTTAAAAATTCGGGGCCAGCAAGAGGCATGGTGGTTGAGGTGCTGGATTCCCACATGGCCAACCATGGTTTAAGTCCCAGACCTGGTGACTTGCTTTCTCACTTTCCCCTTTTCTCGCACTCCTTCTCCCTCTGTCTCTTTGGTCAAATTAAAAAATAACTAATAATAACAAGTGAATAAATAATCATAAAAATATTAAAAAAGAAAGAAAAGAAAAAGAAAAAAAATGCAGAAGAGTAATTTCGCTCCCTCAGCTATGGTTAGCGTCCTCCAAAAATTCACGTGTCGAGACACTGTAATGGCATTAAGAGAGTTAAAACTTGACCCAATTATGCTATCCAAAAGTGGAGCCTTTGGCATTAAGGTCATTAAATCAGAATCTCCATAATTAAGTGAGTTTTTTTTTTTTTTGAGAGGTTTTTGCTATAGGGCACATGCGCTCACCAGAAAGACAGAGAGAGAGAGAAAGTGAAAAATCACTCCCCAGGGGGGATGGCCACGTTGCAATCCCTTCTCCTCCATTCTCCTCTTGGGATCTTGGACACGCATGCACACACGCCCAGTGTGAGTTTAAGCCACCGGGTCCGGGACTCTAACTGCGGTCTGCTACATGGGAGTCCAGCAACATAGCCATTACTCTAACTGCTGGTCCCGTGATTAAGTGCGTTTATAAGGAGTGGGAATGAGAACAGAACAGAGGCTCACCTACAATACTGCCCTGCTCTGGCCCTCATGATGCAGTCAAAATTTCCATCAGATATGGCCCCTAGACCTTGGACTGCCAAACTGTGTGACAGGGAGAGGGGGAGAGAGAGAGAGAGGGAGGGGAGTGAGAAGTCACCCCCTAGGGGGATGGCCACATCACAATCCCTTCTCCTCCAATCTCCTCTCTGGATCTTAGGCAGATACGCACATGCATCCAGTGTGTTTTTCAGGCAGCTGGGCCTAGGATCAAATTGTGCCATTGACCATGTCGGACCTGGCTGCTTTGACCACATCACTGCAGGCCCTACCTATTTTCTATAAATCACCCAGTCTCAGGTATTTCTGTTAGCAACGCAGTAGCAGACTAAGATCCCTTTCCTCCACAGAGGCCAGGTCTATTGTGTAGACACATACACTTAGCATTGCTATGGTCACCACTGAAGTGACTCACTTACATTTTATCTTCTACTCTTCAGTGAGCGTTGGCCGTAGATCTGGGCCAGCAGCTTGTGAAATTCTTTCCTCCCACACGCTTCCTCCAACCTCCTTTCAGGCCATTACTCCCAGAGGGACCAAAAGGATCCTCAAGTTTCCACCTTCCCTTCTACCGCCATCTTCAGTTTCAGCAACTTAAACCAAGCAAAGACACAGAAGTGCATCCCCTCTAAGAACGTAAATGCCTGCCTGCCACAAATGTTGACCGGCAGACACTTTATTCTAGTGGAACCTAAAATCAGCCCAGTCCTTATACCGGGAAGAAAGGAAAACAAGGAAGGTAGGAGAGACAATGGGCAGAGAGTAGGTTCAAGTTCTTCGCTTATTATGCGCATTTGCCACCAAGAGCCC